TTAAGATTACTTATAAATACTATTCATCAAACCTAATACTTTTAAGGAAACCGAATGTTAAAACAGTATGACTGGATTATGTACCGAAACTATTATCTGATTATAACCAAACGTATTTTTAAACCTATTACACTTACAAAGTCTAACTCTAATAGCCTCACACTTGTCTTCCACTTTTTGAATTTCTAAATTCTCACCCCTCCACCTGGCTTCCACTTTCTCTGTAGAAATTAAGGGTTCTGACACTTTGTAAATGGGTGTTTTCTTTAGACTTGGATTTCATCAAAATTATCTGCAAAAAATATTATAATCATCCAAGGAAGTAAACTTAAAATAATTCTCAAATTTTAGAAGATTTATTCTTAATTATTAAATATGGTAAATAAAATGATTGATATAAGATTTCTTTTTTAATTATAGTTTGTAATATCTCATGAAATAGGTATCAACTTGAAGTTTCCCAAATTTGAATTTGTAATACTTTTTGTCATTTGACCAAAATTTTGTCATTTTTTCTTAAGTATAGGCCCTCAACAAGTATAATCTTTTTCACTTGTTTATCCAAACCAATCATTCTCAAAGATTTCATCTCCAATTAACAATTTTTAAATGAAAAATTTGTAAGACAGTTAGAATTGTAATGATATATATATATATATATATATATATATATATATATATATAAACACAAAAGACAATGTTAAAATTGAATTATAGAAAAAAATAATAGATTTGTCAAAGTAAGGGTAGGAGAGAACTCTACCAAATAAACTTGGCCAATTGTTTACGTCTATTAGGTAAAGTTACACCTTAGTTATTGAAAGGTGTCAAATAATGTATGGAAACACGATATATGACACATCATGGTGGCATGTGAATCTAATATCTAGGTATTTGAATACCATTTCAAAGGACAAGATAAAATGCAAATTTTATATAAGGATGGAGGGATTTTATAAGTAGGTTGGTGGTAACTAGATTGAGAGTGTGGCTTGAAAAAACCTACAAATTTGATTGTTGTGTTAATACAAACAAGTTTTTTTGTTCTTCATTGAAAACTTGTTAATAATAGCTTGAATAATCTTTTCTTGAATGATCCTCATTTTAGTCCCTTCTTGGATAATACTGTGTATTGTAGAATTATTCTTGAAACCAAAGTTGAGAAGATACATGTATTTTTTATAGTACATGTACACATCAACATGTATCCATTCTTTCTATAATAAGAAGAAATATTATCACAAACAAAATCTCTAGTTGTTATTGTCTTTGCCTTTGTCAAAGTTCTTATAAGTATTGGTTCCAAGAAACACTTTGTTTCTTCACTAAAACGTAGGTTACCCTACTTTTCATGTTGATTTATCATGAAAAAAAAACTTTGTTTAAAAAGATAAAAGATCCATCAACAATATTTTAGATTTAACAACACTAAAATAATCATTCTAATCATTCAAAATTTAGATAATCATATTCCGATGTATGTAATTCCTTGCATTCCTCATTGCTTGGAAATTACAATGAATAAGACAAGTCAAGTGATAATCAACCTATCATTTAAGTTCTTCCCAAAACCTTTTTGTGTTAGTGGAAATTCCACATGCTATTGAGAAAATCACTCTCGGCTACCAATACTTTAAAAGAAGGCTACGAATATGAATCCAACATTAAGTTTTCGTGAGTTTCATGGAAGTCGGGACAAAATCTTTTGTCCAAGAAAAAGCAAAAAGAATGTCAAGAGATAAATTCCAAGTTCCGATAACCAAAACCATTTGCAAGTCTTCTAAAGAAGAAAAAGAAAATTCATATACCCCTTTGCGAAGAAAAATTTCCATTGATCCAAATGTTTCCAAGCCACATCAAGTTTTTTACAAAGGTCTAAATGTGTAAGCAATTTATCCATTTTTTTAAAAATACCATGCAAATGATTTTTGCACTCCTCTAGACTAGCAAGATAAACTTCTTCAAAAATTTGCATAACGCCCCTATCTCCCTTTATATAAGGATGAGGTAATTAGGACAAAGGAACATCACATGCATGATTAAGGACTTGGGAAAATGTACGCTTTTATGCCCATACATTTAAAGAAGATTTAGAGAAAAGTATTTTTTTTTGGTCTTGATCCTGTAAAAAAATCCAAGGAATATGAAACCCCGAAGAAGAAGTCATACCTATGCCTTACCAAGTGACATACCTCTCCAACCATCCACCCACACCAAAGGTTTCAAATCTACACTTGCGTTCAAGCAATATAAGTGAACTCCAACCACCCTCCAACCATGCACCCAACCACCAACACACAATCATGAACAAGCACTCCACATGATGGACAATCAATGTTTCACACTTGTGGACACCAACTACAAAGCCTTCACCTCTACAAGCCAAGCCATCACTGACTAAAATAAAAAGGTAATATAAGTTTTTAACTTAGATACTTTTAGGGAATTTAAAGTAAACAATGAATGAAAAATATTGATACAACTAAAAATAAATGTGGCCTAAAATACCCATAATTTTAAAAGTGTAGCCTAAAGTGTCCATGTTTTAATAATTGTTGTCTAAAGTGACCACATTTTAATAACCACTAACTACAATTGTCCACATTTCACTATGTGTTGCTTAAAAGAAATAAGCAATGATTTTCCTATACGATTGGGCTTGAAGGCAAATAATAGGAAACAATAAAAAATTGGTCGAACAATCAATATTCCCAGATGAGTACTAGGTGACTGAGGGTCAACGTTTCCACTTTTGCTTACTTTCTACGGACGAAATAGTCGCTGGTGACTGATCGGTCAAACACCTATTAGGTGATCACATCATAAATTGAACTAATTTATAAGTACACTTATCAAATTTTGGGTCGTGATTAGGTCAACCCTAATTAAAAACTCATTTCGAAACCTATAAATATAGAGGTAAAGTAAGGAGATAAATGATTACATTTATTGTGAATTTAAGACTTTACTAATCAACCATATAACTGACTTTAGCGTCAGAGTGTCTTTGGCAAGTACTCTTATCCCACATGGTGGAGTTGGAATACTAAGGACATTGGAGAACTTCACAACGAAGACCGAAAGTGATGTTAGACTTGGAGAAAAAGTGTGAATGAGTGTTTTGATTGTGATTTTCGACCTCACACCTGAAAGAGTTTTCAACAGGTTTGTGATGAAAATAATATTCATTCTAATTTTCAATAGGTTACAATAAATATGTGTAATGAAAGTGAAAATTAAGTCATTATAGGAAATGATCAAAGCTAGAATTATAATTCAAGTCGTAAAAATTCTTCTAGAGACAATGAATACAATTTATTATTTACAAAAAAACAATTTACATTATACTTATTTTTAAGAAGATTCCTTATGATATGTAAAGAATACTTATTTTAAGAAGATTCCTTATGAGTTGTAAAGAGATAAAGGACCTATATATCTAATTTTCATAATTTTGATGTTAAGGCTTCATTTTGAACATCAATTATAATCTTGAAACATTTAACTCTAAAAGTGATGAAAGAGTTTTGATTACTAAAAAACTTTTAAGGACTATAGTTTTTAATTCAAGAAACAAAATTGTGGAAGAAATCATCAAAGTAGCAAGTTGACTTTATACAGGAGTTGAATAGAGTTCAAAACTCTTTTCTTCCCAACAACAAATTATGTTAAAAATAAATAAACAAAAACAAAAAATTATATTAGTTCACTTACAATATATTACGATGAATTTTCCCTTAAAAAACCTTTTAAAAGGTTTTACTAACTAAAACTTGATTACAAACATGGATACACAAAAATCACTCTTAACTATTTTTTTTTTCAATATTCAAGTATTATTTAGTTGTCATTCTTGACTACAAACACATATGATAAATGGTAATTAAAGCACTCTTAACAAAAGATATAACAAGAATTCTTACAAGTGATTTACTTCACAAGATGAAGAATACTAATATTAACACTTCCCACATTTATGTTAAATTCAATGATCATAAGCCTCATAATAAATTATAAACTACGTGCAAATTAATGAAATAAAAACTAATAATAAAGATGAATCTATTTAAATAAAAAAATAAGTTAACATACAACTAAACAATATATGTATAATATTATATTGTATGTAATTTAATAACTCTATTTCAAATAATTTTATGGTTTCATAATTTTCTTTTATTTTTCTTTACACAGGGACTAGAGTAAAATATTATTAAAGTGATATTTTATTAATTATATTTCACTAATTTCTCACTCTCCTTATGTTATATTATCATATTTACCTTATATCACTTTTATTTTTCATTTAGATTTCTTTAATTTTGATCCTTTTTCTTCTTTTATGTATTTCTAATTTACAATTTAGAGAGCTACATTTCCTGTAACATCATTAAGACATTAATGTCTAGTTTGGCGATATATATCTTTAAATTTAAATTTGGAAAAGAAATTGTGTTGGATGAAACTTGAATGGTTATTCTTTTACTAGATTCGAAAATCACTTTAATTTATTTTTTAGAAATATAATACAGATCACTTCATTCAAGTTCTAACTTTTTGATAAGATACAATTTCCACAACAACAAAATTTATGATTAAATAGTTAATGTATGATTTGTTTTTTCTTTCTTGGTTGAATTACAGGAAGGAAAAACATAGAAGTCTTCACAAAAATAATAAAGTATCTTACATTTGATTAGTTTCCCTCAACAATAAATCAAAGAAATGTAGCATTTTCTTAAAGAAAGAAATTATGGGAGTAAGAGACTACTTTACTATTCAATTTTATAATCTTATGCTTAAAGATTTGCTAACTTTTCAATAATTGTATTAAAAATCATATTTATTATAAATTTGTAATAATGGACCATTTATAGAAAATATAAAACAGTGTATAGAAACCAAATTCAATCGATATAAATTAAAGCATGTACAAATTTTATTATTTCTAGTTAGAACTTTTTCTTTTTATTTTCAATACCAAACAAAATTAAATAGTTTATAGTTTATAGTTGAAAGAGTGTGAAAGAGTGTGAAAAAGCGAAGAAGATAACAGAAATTGAAATGGAGAAGTTAAGCGTGAGCCACATGAATGCTCGTTTCGCACTTCCCAATCGCTCTTTCGATTTTCTTCAATTTCAGCACTCAATTTTCTTCCTCAAGTTCCCCAATCCGAACCAGAATTCGAACCCAAACTCGAACCTCGTTCGATTGCGCAGGCTCAATTGCTCAGTATCAGACGGCACCGTTCCGTGTAAGCATCACAATTGTATTGTATTTTCCCCGCTGTTTCTGAATCAATTGGTGCAGTTATGTAAAGGGTTGGGTTGTGTTTGGATAAAGTTTTTGTAAAAGAGAAGTTTTTATCTAAACTAACTTAAAACTGTGATTTTTAAACAAATTAGTGGAGAGAATTTTGTATAAATCAGTTTATCTATAGTTTAGTTCATAGATTTTTTTTTTGGGAGTGTTTATTTTGACATGAATCTAAATTGGTTCTCAATTAACCAATGTTGTGTAAAAAAAAAAAGAAGAAGCAAAGTTGTTGATGTTATGTTGTCATTCTTGTTATGCAGCTTCTGTTGGTGCCACGGACTCGTCTCTTGTGGTGAAGGTGAGACTGATCGAGATTGTGGTATGAAGACTATGGGGTTGTTTGGATTCCAACTGAAAGTGCTTTTGAGAGTTTTTGTACTGAAAATATCGAGTTGTTTCTTTTGGGTACAAACTTCAAAAGATCTTTCTGGTTTTGTATCCAAACATACTCTAGTGATCTGCATAGATAGAATAGAAGATTGTTTTAACTGTTTCTTTAGTTTTGGTTCAGAAGAAGGCAGCAGAGGTGTCTTCTGACCTCAAAGGGACCTCCATATTTCTGGTTGGTAAGAATACCAGCCACCTTTTTAATAAGTTATTTTTTTTAGGTTATTTCAAGTTATGTAATCTTACTTCTAAAAAGAGAGTAGATGTATAGTAGGAAATCCTTCTGAAGTTTGCTGATATACACCTTTTTGGAATGACTATCCTAGCAAGATATAACTTCAAGGAGAAAACTTGGATACAGATACAGTGACTTCAGTGTTTGTATTGTTCTCCATACAGAATTGGAGTTATGTATTGGTAATTATGATTGAAGAACAATTGAAGTAATACCTAAAAGATTGTATCTAAGTTTTTTCTTTAGAGTAACTCGTCTTTTAATTTAAAATGAATTCAGTATGTTTTTAGTCTTTGAACTTACATGTGAAATTGGAATTTGTATTTCTCTTAGACTTTGATACATTTTTATCCCACAACTTTAAAAATAAATGGAAGTAGTCCTTTTAATTTAATAAAGTTAATTTTTGTGGGCTTATTAAAAGGTGCTTCAGGATTACATTTGAGTTGGAACATGTCAAAACGGTGCAAACAGTTAAAACATCATCTTAAAATATGTTTGACATGTCAAAAAAAATTAATGCAATTGGGTTAAAAAGACTATATATATTCATTTTTAAAGTTTAAAGACTAAAATATATTATAGTTTGAAACAGAGACTAATTTTAATTTTGTGTTAAAATTTAGGGACTAAAAACATATTTAATTCATTTAAAATAAATAAAGTAAGATAGAGGATGAAGAGCTCGGGATTGAAAGATTTAAGAATTTCTTTATCTGATATTTTTTAGAATTTATTTCCTCTTTTATAAAATTTACCACGACATTTAGTAAGTAGTTTTATGTCTAACTTAACTTCACAATTCTATATTTTTGGCAAAGGATTGCAAAGTTCTCTCAAAGCCGGTTTGGGAAAGCTGCTGGCTGATGCATTACGGTATTATTATTTTGACAGGTACGTATTTGTTTGTTATTCTCGGATTATAAAAAGGGAGGTTCCAGTTATTAGCTATAGTTGATGATTATGTATTCTGTCCAGTGATAGTTTGGTCGAAGAAGCTGTAGGTGGTGCTCTGGCTGCGAAATCCTTTAGAGAGAGTGACACGAAAGGCTTCTATGAGTCTGAGGTGATTGTTTGCAGTTTTTACACTCTATATATGGTGAATTTTGATTTTAATCCTAAAACAAAATTCATTGGTTTTTGGGTATCATAGATTCAAAATGGTCTGTATCTTTTAAGGATGACAAAGAATGCAGTATGAGCGATTATTTTGAATGATTTGAGATGTGACTTACCATAAGAAGAACTATAAAATAATACGATTTATGAAGATCAAAATCAACAAAATATGATACATTTGTAAGAACGAACAGACATGTTAAACTTCGATTGTATGTCTGACCTTAGTATACCAACAAGGTTGACATCTGTCGTTTTTAGCTGAGTTTTCTGGATACAGATGGTCATTTCCATCACTTAACTGTTGAGTTGGAATATCAAATGCTTACGTTTTACATGTCAAATGCAGACTGAAGTACTGAAGCAATTATCTTCCATGGGCCGACTAGTGGTTTGTGCAGGCAATGGAGCTGTCACAAGTCCAACTAATCTGTATGGATTTATAACTGCTACCTATTTGTGCTCACAACCCATAGTCACTGTAGTCCATTTCTTCACACACATGCAATGAGCGAATAAGAATTGTTGGGTGAAGATCAAACAACTCATCTTACCTTGGTAAATCATACTGATATCTTGCATTTGAGATTTGATCCACTTGATCTCCATCCAACAATTTTTATTATTGATTGCATGAATGCATGAAAAAACCAACCAAAGGATAAATAGTAATCTGCCAAACTCCATGTTTACTTCTTTAGTTATCATCATCATCATTATTACAATTATTATTATCTTGAAATGCTCTTGAATTGAAAATAGGGCACTTTTGAGACATGGAATTTCGCTGTGGATAGATGTGCCTCTAGATCTTGTGGCTAGGGATTTAACAGAAGACCAGTTTGTTCCAGGATCATACCCAGAGGTTTATTCCCTGCTGTGAAAAGTGTTGTTACACTAGTTTACAAATTTTTTTTCCTCTCTAAATCCCTGATTCTCAATGCCTCTGAAATAATGTTAGGTAAGGGATGAACAAGGTGCTCTATATGATAAATACAGAGCTGGATATGCTACAGCTGATGCTATTGTTTCAGTTCAAAGTACACAACCTTCCCTCGCTGTTTTGCTTACAGTTTTTTGTGTAGAAAGGGGAGGTGGGGGTGGTTTGCATTGCTTGTCTGAAGTCCTAACATCTTCTTTCCTTTTCACAGAAGTAGCATCCCGGTTGGGTCGTGACAACTTAGATGAGGTTACAATAGAAGACTTGACTTTGGAGGTTATATTTTTTATGCAAACAATTAAAACCATGCCATGCCTAACTGTTTCCTTTTGGGAACTACTAAATGAGCCTAACCATTTTGACTTGTCCAACTGTTATTACTGAATCTTGGCAACAAATTTGACAACTTTTTTTTTTTTTTCTGATTGTGTAGCATTGTTCTTATTGGCTATTGTTCTTAACTAATTCCAGGCTCTCAGGGAAATTGAGAAGTTGACCAGAGTAAAGAAGATGATTGAAGAGGCTGCAAGACCATTTTAACCTTCCTTTACCTGTAATCAAACGGGACAATATGAAACATTTTTGAATCTGCAACTCCTGGTTTAGCATCTCAAATTTAAGTTTTTATTCCAGTTTTCTTCCTTGAAATATGTATCTTCCTTTTGTTGCTGTTTTAAGATGGCACTGTAGAGTGTTATTTGAAAATGAAAAAAATACTCCTTTCTGTAGCTGGAAGGCAGCTTTTATGCCTGCTGTCATTTTTTCTTATCAATGATCCGTTGAATTTCCAATTCACTACAGCTTGAAATTGAATCCAATAAAAATAATATTACAAAAAAGGTTAGTAGAAATTAATAATTCAAAAACCAATTATAAAAGATTGTATTTCAATTAATATCACTATGTACTGAAGTGAGTTCTTTAGACAAAAATATTAGAGAGATATAATCGTAATATCGTACCAGTAAAATCTACATAAGAGAAAATAACATCATTTTTAACTCAAAATTGTAAATAAATTAATGTTGTTTAGAATTTTCTTTTATAAAAATGGAGCCTAATTTTTCTATATATTAGACCAAGAATTTTACTTCGAATATGCATTATGTCGAACTAACATTTATTCATCTTTCATTTCTTATTCTAATTAATTCAACAATTAAAATCAAACATTATCTACTGTATATTAAAAAAGATATTGAAAAGAAGTTCTGTTCATAAACGATACATAGTTGCAAACATAAAGTTTTTCTTTTTAGGGTTGAAACAAACTGAAAAAGTTCATGATGAAATTAAGAATTGGGTGAAGAATTCAGCATCCAACCAAACAAAGAAAACATTTAATATTCCCCTTTTCACCATCTAATTACTTCTATTAAGGAAGTTCATTGCTTCAAGATTAAGTGATTAATTTGCCCCCACACATTCTGAAAAAGACAGCCAGAAGTCAAATTTCAGATACTAAAGCCAGACATAGAAAATAGATAGGAAAGGAAGTCATAGATCCTAACCATAATTAAAATTACTAAACCAATACATTATTAAAGTAATTAAATTTTGTTACACTCTTTTTGTGTATTTATATTGATATTGTAACTAATATAACTGTTAGTTATTCAATAAATCGAATTAATATAATAACTTTTCATGTCATTTCACACTTTTGCTGATAAGAAAAAAAAAAAAAAAAGAGACAATTTACTTTTCAAAAACTAAAATCGAACTGTCTTTTTATAAAAACTAAACATATATTTCATCATTAAATCTACTACACACACTATCTAAAAATTACAACTATAATAATAACATTATTCATTTTTGTTTCTATATTAATATTATAAATTATTGAACTACACAAATATTTTAATTACTACATACAAAAATAAATCACTTGCACTAATTGTATATAAAATTCAACACCCCTCTTCTATTTTATACAAGAAACCACATCCACTACAATTCAAAACAAACAAAAAAAAAATCCCAAATTAACTAATAATTAATGTTTTATTTTTAATAATTAATTTCATCCTAAACCCTTCAAAATAGCTGTTTCCTACCTGTCTGGGTCGGTGGTTGCATTTCCAAACTTACATTCTGACATAAAACACAAACAAAAAGAAAGAAATAAAAATAACATAAAATAAAAATATATAAATAAAATGTTTCAAAAACACTTTTTGTTCTTTCTTCTTCTTTCTTTCTATGTGAGGAATGAAACTCTGGCCTGGTTTGTTTAACCAGGTCCTTACCAACTCTTAAAATCTTAACACCTTTTCCAAACACATTCCCTCTTCCCTTTGAATTTCTCGTTTTTCTTCCACAATGAACGACCTTCTAACGGTAACCTTGCATTTTTCTACCATCTCTTTCTATCTCATTTTTTTTTTTTTATTTCTTCATTGTTGATTCAACTTGTTCTTTGTTCTTTCTCATTTGTTTTCACGCATTTCGGATTTTCTTCATGTGGGTTTTTCTTAGATCCAATTTTGTGCACAATGTGCAAGCTCAAGATTTCAACTTTTTTTTTACTTATATACTCTGTTCTTTTATTGTTTTACCGAGAAAAAAGAAAGAAAATTATTGGGTTTGGGGAATGTGGGTTCTGAATCATTTTAAAAATGGGATTTCAGTTTCTTCATCATCATTTGAGTTATGTTGAAATGCAATTTTGGTGAGTTTCATGGGGGAAATTTAATTTAATAGCTCTTTGCGTATGATGTTCTAGCGTTTACGGTTTCGTGATCTCTAGTTATCTGCGTAGCGATTTGTTCTGATTTAAAAGGGAAATAGTAATGAAAGAGGTTGCCATGGATTGTGACAATTAAATTAATCTAGAGTTAAACATGCAATTGGTTTTAATTTTCAATGGTCAACTATCTTGGAATTGTTTAAAATAAAAAAATTAATTAATAATGTATATTATGATATTTCAGTAGCCTCTTCTTCCCATTGCCAGATTCTCATTAACTAATCAGATTACAGTGGAGGTTCTTTATGGTAAAACAGTAACTCAAAAGCTATTCCTTTAGGAAGTTATGTGAAGGATCTAGGCTTATAATTGAGTTGCTAGCAGATTAAAATTTTTATAATTGTAAAATCAGCACTTTTGGTGAAACATTTCCTGCTTTCTCAATCCCCAGAATTTTATACCTGTAAAATGTAAAATCAGCACTTCTACTGATGTGAAGGGTATAGGCTTATCTGATTTTTTCATTCTAATACACAATGAGTTAAAACTATACTTCACTTCTCTCCCAATCCCCATAATTTTTTGTTTTATATTTAAATTATTCCTTACAGCTTATATAAAAGTAAACATCTTATAGACACCGTGATGCCTATAGAATTTTCTCTGTTTTTTTCATTCTGATATACAACGAGTTGAAACTAGACTTCTCTTCTTTTAGCTATAAATTCAAGTGCATGCAACCATTTACATACAACTTAAATAATTGATATGCTGCCCGCAAAAGCTGCATTTTTCACAATGAATATCATTTAATTATCCAACTATATAGTAATAATTTATTAAATATTGCCAATCCACAAAATAAATTATGTGAAATCTAACATTCTTTTCTTGCATCTGGGTTACGTGCTCAATGCTCACAAAAGCTCCATTGGCTTTACCTACACAGAAGTTGTTTTGTTTTCGTTACATAAGATTTTTCTCAATACAACAATAACATTATTCTATGCATGGATAAAGTTGTGGAAGTGTTTAAAATCTGTTGTTGTAAACTTGCTGATTCCTTCATCATTCAATTTTCAAGTGCACAGCCGTAACAGTAATGTTTCATGCCAAAGGGCTGCAAATGCTTAGGAAAGTCATTTTTATATTTAAAAATGTTGACAAGATGTTTGTGGAAGCAGTATACGCAATTCTGTATTTATAATATCTATAGAATGACGTTAGTTAGATTTGCACAATTAATCAGGCTGTGAATTCTGTACATCCATTGACTGTTACAGTCTTTTCACGGGACTAAAACGAACAGCAGTGCGGTGTGCAATAAGGGTCAATTCATGAATCCATCTCGTGTTAGGTCTTAGAATTACCTGTCACTACATAGGTCTTAACATTAGTATACTAATTAATAGTCATAACGTCTTGTAGGGAGACTGTATTCAAATTTGAGAGTATTTGTTCTGTTTGTTATGCTTTGAATTTTAAATGCATCTAAGATCAATACTGCTTTCTTGGTATGTAGAAAATTGTGTTATTTTATCTATGCGCAAATTGTTAATATAGCAATAACATTAATGGCTAGTTTATCGAGGATGTGCTGATAGCAACTTCAGTCTTAGGGTTGAACCATACATAGTAATTTGATGATGTATTTGTTTTCTCAGGAATCATTTGAAATCCCACGTCAAAGAGGTGGTGACATTGAGTTAGGAGAATATGCGAGGAATTCAGGAGAACTGGGCTTGGAAAGTTTCTTCAGAAAGGTGTTTATATATATATATATATATATGTGTGTGTGTGTGTGTGTGTGTATAAAAACATTATTCAGCTCAACTTTCATTATTTCTCTCCGTTCCTTAGCTTATGGGGCCTAAGCATTCATGTTCAACCATGTTGCTCATCTCGTTGATTGATTAGTCTCTTTTTATAGGTCCAAGAGCTTGATAAGCATTATGCTAAGCTGGATACGCTTTTGAGGAAGCTCCAGGTAACCTGTCTTTACAAACTTGGCTAGTAATTGTTGGCTTTTGAAACACTTGACTTACTAGTTTTGATCATTTGAAAGTAGTATGCAATTGGATGACAGTATGATGAATTTATTAAGTTTCACTGAAGTATGATAATTATAAATAAAGAAGTGGGCAATATAGAGGCATGATATGTTTTTGTGTGGATGGCCTGCCAAAATCAAGGTTATTTTCCTGTTGCTAATCTAACAGCAGAACCATCTATGTATACCTTACTTTGTTACCTGAAGTCTTACTTCCTGGTGCACTGTAGTGTAATTCATAAAGGCTGAAGAATGAAGAAAGTCTAGCTGATCAGAAAATTGAACTCTATTATTTACCCTTGTTAGAAACCCCCTACTTCATCTATCTCATAAGCACTTATAAGCTCTAATATAGTCTAACCAATTTTTTTCATGTAAGAACTCTGGCAAAGTGAAAAAGTCCAGATAATGTGCCTCCTTGCTTCTTTATGAGTTAACAATCCTCATACTGTACCTTATATCTACTTCCACGTGATTTCAAATCTCCCCTGCATGACTCTATTTTAGCGTTTATTTCGTCTCTCGATTCTCCAAATTAGGATCACATCACATCTACAAAAAACATGAATTTAGATAATAGTTCCTTGATATATTCTGTAATTATGTCCAAAATTTGGTATGGAGAAAAAGAGCTCACAGTTGACCCTTGATGTAATCATATTCTTAAAGGGAAATCCTTATCATACCATCGTGTGTTTGCGCACTAGTTTTGAACCCAACGTACATTTCATTGATGGTATGAATATAAGCGACTTGAAATCATTTCTTCTACTGTGCGCTCCATAAGGAATTTCGGGTCAATTGGTTGGCAGAAAAACTTACGTAGATTTGCAAGTTTAGACTAAAGGACAAGAGGAGGGATGGGATGACATGGTCAGGAAAACCATTTAAGGATAAAAAGTATGTAAAACTAGAATGACTAATGTTGCCTATCATTTTGTAGCTTGTGTAATGATTTTTTCTAAGATAGTTGTGTTGAATCGTAG